ACTTCAACATAAAACACAATTACTTTTCAAGTTTTATCATGTGGATCGGTTTCTTCTTTAGGGGAAACGAGGCAGCTTTTTATTTTTATAATTTTTGTTTATTTGTTTCAGTTTTGAATACTATTACACTGGACTTGGGTCATGGTTTACGGTTACTGTAACATTATTATCAATTATGTGACGCAACGCAAAGACGAGCGCCGTCCGTTCTGAAGGTCAAAAATTAGAATATACTCTGAACGGAAAATAGTACATACAATAGTAAAAAATTATAATCATCAGACCTAGGATCTTCAACATTAAAAAGAGTTTCAGACGTCCGGTCGGGACTTACAAAACACCCCAATTCATGCATTGATTATTTTCGAAAAGCCTGACTCATCAAAATATTGCATAGGAAAATCATAACTATCATATATAAACCAGATATCAGCCATATACAGCAGACACATTAAGAAGATCTTATCGTTAATGAGATCAGTCATGATAGATAGATAAAAAGATAAGTACATAACCGTTACAGACAACTTAATAAAAGCAGAATATTTATGACCTCTTTTACACATATTTTTCTACCCATTCTTATATTTCATCCTTGAAATTGCACCCCGTTAGTGCATTTGACATTTAAATATACATAGGAAGAGACTATATAATACTAAGGTAACTACAGTATCTGTGCCAAAAAGATATTGAAAAAACATGTCATGATATTCATCAAACACATTAGTTATAACAAACACGAACAGTCACATGTTTTTACATGCCGAAGAGAACTCTGTTAGATTATTCCTATGATATGCTTTTTTTTAGCTTTTGTGTGGTCCGACGTATGCTTTGGCCACTAAAAACTAATTAACTTTTTCTGGTTAAAAATGTCTTGTCAGTAAACAGAAGTTTATTTTCAAATGCTCCAGTTGTGTTGCAGTTTGCCCTCGATGCTAGCAGTCAATATAATAGATTAATACTGTCATCAATATAATTTTCATAAGCAAACAAATAAGCCTCATTGTTTAAGGCCGGACGGTGGCCTATGATTGCTAACTAACTCTGCATTTGAATTCTGGTGGATAGTTGTCTCATTGGCTATTATACCACATCTCCTCATTTTTATATGATGGTATTAACAGAAAATAGTAAAGTTAAAAACAGTTTTTCGAAGGACTTTATTGATGATTACATATATTTATATGAAAATAAGGAGATGTGGTATGATTGCCAATGAGACAACTATCCACCAGAGTTCAAATGAAGTAAGTATAAGTATACGTATTTATAGGCCACCGTACATCCTGCAACCATGAGAAAAACCCATACCGTATAGTCGTCTATTAAAGGCCCCGACATGAAAAATGTAAAACTATTTCAACAACAAACTAACAGTCTTATGTATAACAACAACAACAAATACGAAAAACTAATATGACATTCATGAACCAACGACAAACACTTAACTATAAATTATGAACTTGATGAAACGGATTTATACATTAATACTAATATATATTTTGGTTGCAAAGACGCTACCTTTTTAACTAAGATTTAACTTCTATCATTGGAAATCTCGTGAAAATATAAAACCGTTTTAAATCGTTACGAAGGAAGACCCGGTTTGTCGATTTGGTCATATTTTGATACCAACGTTATAACAAAAAGTGTCACACTAAAACGAAAGCCAAGTGAATACCGAACCTTAAGTAAAGCTATCCACGTCATTTGAACTTTAGTGGACAGTTGTCGCGTTGGCAATCTTACCACATATTCTAAGTTGTATATTAGTAGATAATTCATTGTTATATTTAGCATTCCAGCTAAGAGAAGATATTTGAATATGATTAACATGATTAAGTCACTATTACTTGGCTTTTAAGACATTTATAGTACTTCTAATATTCAATGACATTGTTTTTTAAAATGTTGAAACTAATGTAAATCAAATTACACAATCACATACAACCACAATATAATACTATTTCAATAATTTACTCATACCAATGTTGTTGTTTTTCTTGTTCTCCGTTTGTCCTCAATATTTTCATCTATAACCACTTTCTTTATTTGCATTTGATTCAATGAGATGCTGGCACCTCGCCACATACACTTGTAGTTTTGGAGAAGCAAACCAAATGCGGTCACTATAATAGGTTTGAATGTGTCTTTAGTTACTTAATGATATTAGTTTGCTGAAGTTTCTGTGGATAGAAATCAGTGAAAATTATGTCGTTATTAAAGAATAACATAATACAGTACTATGTTTAGTGGGTTGCCACGTAGAGAACCCTTCCAGCACAGTATAGACTTTGATAACAAAACAGGAGTTAATAGATTTAAAATAATGTTTTGAATAATTGGCACATCAATGAGTACACTATCGCTAGTAACAGTTGATTTAAACAAAAGTAATGTAACGTTACATATCATATTCCATCGAATAATAAACACAAATTGATTATCAGTTTATCAAAAGTCAATTATACCACATACATTGTACTTACCGGAAAAAGTCATTAATTGTTTTATTCTACATTCAGAGAGAAAATTAAGCACCTAATGATAATTAATTTGCAAAACCAATTGTACTTCAAATATTTTACTAAAATATGGAACTATAGTAACCGTTATTACTCATCAGATGCACGTCAAGGATATCACTATCAACAGTGGTGTTTTCGAGGGTGAAAGACGGGGTGAAAAGGGGGGGGGGGGGTGGTGTTACGCCTTGGCATTTAAGATAAATTATAAAACAGTTATGCTCAATTTAACTTGTCGCAACACTCTTTTGATTGAGAGATTGTTATTTTTTCCGAAACATCTGCGTTTACGCTCGTTTTTTAGTTGTTTCCGTGTTGGTCAATCTGTAGGGTTCTTTGCAATTTTCGCAAATTCTATTTGTTTTGGTAAGGTGCATTCAAAATCCTTTTCTTTGTCTTTAGCTTTTCAAATGAATACTTGAAGGTACAGCATGTTATATTATCTATATAAAAAAAGAAGAACAGCTTTCAAAAGTCATCTAGGAATCTCAGTAAACAGTTTGTCCTACTGCTACAAGTTCTACAAAAAAAAGCAATCTCTTAATGTCATACATGTGTCATATCATTCATTCATTATTTGTAACATACAGTTATACATATACACTCCAAAACAAAAATCTGTACCTAGTATATTCGCCTCTCTGAAGAAATATTTAAATGTCGGTACTCCATTTAGGTTAATCGTTGTTTATAGAAAATGGAATTGAATTTAGCCAACTTTTCTTTTTCTATACGTTTTCATTACTTAGTTTTATAGCTAGATAAAAGCAAAAATCACCGCAAATAATTTATCTTATTGTATGTCATCCATTACAAATGAATATTTTGTCTATAAATATAAAATAAGTTAGAAAATCTGTAAATTAGCTAGCCTATCAACTAATATGAATATAAGAAAAAAAACCAAAACACTTAAACTGTATCAACAAATTATGCAATTAATAATGATTAACTGTCCATAACAGTTTTTATATGATCCATACATTATTAAAACTCTGTTTAAGCAAAAAACAACACACAAGCAAAAAGCGAATATTACATTGCAGTGCATCTAGCAAAATATCCAATATGTTTTTGGGAGCATGCATCATGCATTTAAGTAATTTAAGTACATTAAAATGGCAAACAACACTTAATTTGAAAAATTAATACAATAAAATAATAATACATGTTTGTACTAAAAGGAGAAGATGTTTAATAAATTTCATTTGTCCGAAGTGCGTATTTCGGATACCTTTATAAGGAATGCCTAAATCCAAAACACTTGAAAGCCATGAAGGATGTATTAAAACAAAAACTTAAGGAGCTTTATGACCGAAAGGTACAACTAATGATAAAATACTGATAGTTTTGAAAGTTTTAAAATATTGATGATTATTTATAGTCTTTATAATATATTATCTTATTTATTAAATTTTTTATTTGAGATGGTCACACCCATCTATCACATGTTAGCTAAAATATAATTGACCTATCTGCTCCATCGTTTATTGTAAAATGGTCTTTATTACAATAAAGTGGAATAAAGTAGTTCATTAGTAGTTCTATATGGACATTTCGATCTTGACATCATCTGAAAAGTCTGAACATAAACACATTTAGTTTTGTAAAAGATTTAAAGTTTTTTTTAGTATAGTCTTTTAGAGAGTTCAGTTGCTTATATCCACATTATTTGGATCTGGCGGATAGCTTTCACATTGGCAACCAGACTACATCTCCTTATTTGTATATGTGTTGATGAGTACAAGGTTTACATGTTCAAAGTGTTTGAATATAGTCATGATTCGTATGCTGTTTGAATAAAAAACTTCAAATGACTTTGTACCTATTGTCGTATGTCATAATTTATTTAAAATTTCGAGTTTGTCTATATTTTTTGTCTTTTCCGGTTGTATTTAGCTCTTCAATGTTTGCATAATGTTTTAGTTTTTTTTTTGTTAAACCTTTTGTCCTTCAGCATCACTAAATAGACATCCTGATCGAAATATGCATCTAGTGCAGTATAATTGGTACCGTTATGGTTGATTTTGTTGTTTTTGTTGTTGTGAATTCGGTTTTAAAGGCATATCTTTGATATTTTCTAATGTAATTTGTGCATGTTGTGTTCCCATGTTTCTTTTACCTGGTACGAGCTTGATATCTTGCGTAATCATCTGTCTAGTTTTGAAGACGACATATGGAACTCTATTGCTGTATTATCATTTGTGCTTCCTTTTTAGGGGGTTGCGTTTTTTTTATTTTGGCTGCTGTTGCCTTGACAATAACCTACATCTCGTCTTTGATTGTAATGTTGATCAGGGCGTTCTGTAGTAAAATGTTTATGAAACATTTGGGGAATTTTAGAATGGTAAAACACCTTTGACTGCTGACTGTAAAAGTATTGCTAAATTGAGGATAACAATTTTGCAGATGAATACTCTGTTGGATGCAATGTATCTTTTGTATTTGGTTATTTTTAGTACATAAATATTATTTATATTTAATAGATGATAACTTACCAACTGTAAATATAGTTGGAGAAGTTGTCGTTGTATGAGAAGTAGATGTTGTTCGTGAAGTTGTTGTAGAAAAATACATGGTTTGTGAAGTAGAAGTCGGTGTTTGAGTCGGCGTCACTGTCGGAATAAACGACGTAGGTGGTGCCAATGAGCTTTTGGGAGTAAAAATGAAAGCCGTTGTTGAAGTAAAAGTCGTTGTTGGAGCAACTGTTAGAGCAACAGTTGTTTTTGGAGTAGAAATCGTTCTTGGAGTAGCGATCGTAGTTGGAGCAACAGTCTTTGTTGGAGTAAAAGTCGTTGTTGGAGCAACTGTTTGAGTAACAGTCGTTGTTGGAGAAGAAATCGTTCTTGAAGTAGAAGTCGTATTCGTAGCAACAGTCGTTGTTGGAGTAGAAATCATAGTTGGAGCATCAGTCGTTGTTTGGGTAGAAGTCGTAGTTGGAGCCTCAGTAGTTATTGGAATAAAAGTCGTTGTTGGAGCCTCAGTCGTTGTTGGAGTAGAAATCATATTTGGAGCATAAGTCGTTGTTGGAAAAGAAGTCGTAGTTGAAGCCTCAGTCGTTGTTGGAGAAGAAGTCGTAGTTGGAGCCTCAGTAGTTATTGGAGTAAAAGTCGTAGTTGAAGCCTCAGTCGTTGTTGGAGTAGAAATCATTGTTGGAGCATCAGTCGTTGTTGGAGTAGAAGTCGTAGTTGGAGCCTCAGACGTTGTTGGCGTAGAAGTCGTAGTTAGTGCCTCAGTCGTTGTTGGAGTAGAAATCGTAGTTGGAGCCTCAGTCGTTGTTAGAGTAAAAATCATATTTGGAGCAGCAGTCGTTGTTGGAGTAGAAGTCGTAGTTGAAGTCTCCGTCGTTGTTTGACTAGAAGTCGTAGTTGGAGCATCAGTCGTCGTTGGAGTAGAAATAATAGTTGGAGCATTAGTTGTTGTTGGAGTAGGAGTTGTTGTTGGAGCTGAAGTCTTAGGTGGCGTATACCTCGCACTTTGAGAAGAAGTCACAGCTGGAATATAAGTTGTAGTTGGAGGAGTAGAAGTCGAGGTTGATGAAGTAGTCGTTGTTGTTGTTGGAATTATAGCCGTCATCGGAGTAGAAGTCGCTGTAGTAGCTGAAATCGTTGTTGTAGTAGAAGACGCTTTTGAAGTAGAAGTCACTTGTGGGTTGGAATTTGTTGATGAAGTAGTAGCCATAGGATTTTTTGTCGTTGAAGTAGAAGCCATTTTGGGAATAAAAGTCGCTGTTTGAGTAGACATACTTGTCCGATTAGTATTCGACGTTGGTATAGTATCCGTTGTTGGGATAGTATCCGTAGTTAGATAAGTGTCTGTTGTTGACATGTTATCCTTTGCTGGGATAGTATCCGTAGTTAGATAAGTGTTCGTTGTTGACATATTATCCTTTGCTGTTATAGTATCCGTTGTCGAGATAGTATTCTTTGTAAGATAAGTATCCGTTGTTTGGAGAGTATCCGTTGCTCGGATAGTTTCCGTTGTTGGGATGATTGTCTTTGTTGCGATAGTATCCGTTGTAGAGCCGGAATTCGTTGTTGAATTATTAGTCGTAATTAATGTAATTTTTTCCATCGATGATACATGTTGTACCAAGGTGGTGCTGTCTCCAACTATTATAACCGAAAGCCCTGTTAGTTAAAAAGACTTATACTTTTCCTTAATGTTTTAAAAACAAACATAAACAATTAAATGAACATAGAAACAAGTGTTATATATTGTGACAAATGTTACCTATTGACTAAGCATGATTGAATGCTATACATAGTGAAGTATAGTTATACTTGCAGGAATAAACAACGGGATATTTAGCAACTATGATTTTCTATGAATATTAGAAAGTTCAACAACAGTGCCGTTCTCCTTTTTAGCTCACCTAGCCTAAACGATCACTATAAATATAGAATATCTGACAGGGGCAGAACTGTTCACTTTGTTCAGATCTTCGTAATGCCTACTTATTTCAAAACTGTAAGACGGAGTTATTGCCCTGAAATGTTAAATTTGACCATTTGTTCATGTTTGCTCATTATTTTGAAAACCATAACAGACAGAGAGAAACTTTTCAAAGCACAATGATCAAATATACATGATATACAAGATCTATAACTAAGTCAAATTTCTGAAATAGTTTTCCGATTCCTTATTGGATTTATTGCCCTTCAATCTTGCCAATGACGATGATGCGTTTTTGCACAATATTATAAAATTTTATATATAGATAGAAACTTAAAAAAGCAATAATGATCAGCAGGACAAGATCTACAACTAAGTGTTATAACCAAATGACGCAGATGTAAGACACTTTAGGTCATTGTACGACCTTCAATAGTAAGCAAAACCAATGGCGTATATTAAGCTATAATATAATGCCTCGACACGACAAAATGTAAAACAAGTTAACGGCCTGATTTATGTTAAGAACAATAAAAGAAAGAAAAAACAAGTATGATACACAAAAGCCAACGACAACCAATTGATTACAGGCTCCCGACTTCAAACCAAGAATGTAACGGGGTTGAATATTTTTGAGAGAGCTCAACACTCCCTTAACTTTGGACAGCGTTATAACTGCACTTCATAGGCAAAAAATGTAAAAATCAGTTGTAAGAGACTGGGTTCATTAGATGATCAGGTAATTGAAAGTTAATTGCAGCTTAAAAACAAATCATGTTTCATACTAAATATCAATCAGATCACATCCAATGGATTTCGTATAAAGACTTCATAAACAGTCTGAGAAAATCATGATCTTGTGACTATTGACTTTTTTTCGTTTTAACGAGTATTATCAATATGTTCGATTGGTTGATTGGTCGGTATATTCCTAACGTCCAGTGGAAAATATGTAATGCATCTATAAGGAAAGGATAGATAAATGATACATATAAAAGGTAATTTCTCCAAAGGTTTAACCTACATTTTTGAGTCATTGAATTTAAAGAAACTTACATATTTGGGTAATCAAAACGTAAACGAGTAAAAATTCAGTACGATCCATGCCTGTAACAAAGATAGACAAAATAATATGAATATGTAATAAAAGAGGAAAATTTCTCATCTAACACCAGTATCATGAGTATTGCAATATATTATCAATTATATTAAACTAATATCGAAGCTTTTGGTATTGTTTTTTTCGAATTTCAACGGGGAGCGCTGAAATATCAGCAAAACATATTAATCTTTCAACACATTTATCAACTTTAAAGTCAGCAAACTGATTATCGGTTATATTTTAATGTATGTTATTGCCATTTGTCCTTCAGTGATATAACATGTATTGCAAATATTTTATGACTTCAGTTTTATTAATTTACAAATTGCTGGTGTACTATCAGTACTCTATGGAATCATCTAATCAGTTCTTCGTTACTGACATAGTTTTAACTAACCGTATGTTTCCACAATTGTTTGTTTATAAATTTAGAAGTTATAAAGAAACTAAGGTTTCACCTCTCTCAGGCAAAGTTGTCGTTTAATATTTTTGCCTTTTTTTCGGTCCTTTTTCGTCATAAAACTGTTTCGGTTCTTATACATCTTTGGCTTTCAAATATTGTACTTTGAGAGTTATTGGTGAGGGTAAATCTAAAAACCGATTCAGACGGACGATATTTACAAAGTGTTGTTTTCATTATTGTACGTTGTAGTGCACCTTAAATGAATGTACGGTTTCACTAATTTGTATTTCTAATTGTGTAAGTACTGCTGATGGTTCACTATGTGTCCTTGAGTATAACATCAGTCTAGTAGACAGTGATTTTGTATTAACTGATTTTAATAATATATCAGTATATGTTTCCTTAGAATTTCTATTCCGACCATTCATAAATTAGTATTTAAACTTTTAGGTGTTACTGCATTCTAAAATTTTCGGTTCGCATTTGGATCACTCTGATACCGATTGTAACAGAAGGCCATTGACTTTCTTTACATATCTTCTTAGGTTGGATTTCAGAAAAGTCAATCAAAGTTTAATAAATTAACTAATGTTTTGATTAGGAAATACTTCTTTCATGCCATGCTGTATGTTCATTTTAACCTGGGTAGGCATTATATTTGTCAATATCTTTATACCGAGCATTAGCAAGATGTAAAATGTTGACAACTATAATGCATACCCTGTTAAAATTAACATACAGCATTGCATGATAGAATTATTTCGATTCTAATAGGAAAATTAGAACTTTTGAACTTCGAAGCGGACCTATAATACGCGTTAAAAAAGCATCCATTTTGATTTGATGAAGCCAAAACGTTATAGAAAATCAACCGTTTTACGATAAACAAATAAAAAGATACATGTAAGGTTACTTTTAGAATGATTTTATTTAATTTCCTAGCAAGCAACACTAAAACAAATGTATATTTTAATTTCCGGTGTTGTTCAAAAGATGTTTTATTGGAATTAGAACATGGCTTTGTTTCCGAAGCGAAAGAAGAATGTCATATTAGAATAGACAATAAATAATCAATGCAAATTATCATTGTCGACAATGCAAGCTTGACCAGAAAGAACATATACCGGCCACATAATTATACTCGTATTCAGAAGAAGAATAGGCCAGTTCATATTGGTTTTGAGGAACCTATTTGCGATTGAAGATGTTGGAAGTAACAGGCCGAGCAGTGAAGAGTTAAGAATATATTTTTGAAGTATTTCTAATTCTGTGTCCTGTAATAACCGAATTACATAGGTGGAGATGAACTACACGTATGTATCTTTCTGGAGTTGCATTCCAAATCATAAAAAAAGAAAAAAACAGAATTCTTTATTGCCCGACAATCATTTTCTAAAATATTCTATTATTATAATTATTTTGTTTTTAAATTACACCTAACTAAACTTAGCATAAACGATTCGATTGTGTCGCAGTATCGTACTTACCCCGAGTGCGGGAGGTCGTTGTCTAGGATACGGTAACATGTCCTACTGTGGACTGCTACTTTATGAATTAGCACATTCAAATTCTGGCTCAGCATGTTGATCTAGTATAATGTAGGATTCGTATTCATATCAAGTTTAGATGTGTTTACGTTGAATATGCGTTTAATTTACCATGACCACTTGACGTTAACAGTCCACAGGAAGACATAAAAACCGCATTTTCAACTGATTAAACATGCAACTTTTAAAACAAGGCGTGTACACCCGTTCCATGTCTTTTCATGTACATGCGATCTCCCGCATTCTCGCACAAGTACGTACGTTATTGTAGTTATACACAAATTTGTCTTTTTTTAGTTATTTCATTTTGGTACGAAATCCTTATGTTTGAGTGAATTTATCGTAAATTATATTAATGTGGTGAAATACTTCTACAACGGATTCAAGGTTGACATTTTTCACTCCGGAAAAATGTCCAGTATTTAGAAGAGGTCATTTTCAGGACCAGTTGCTTCTTTTAAAGAGGAACTACTTTATTTCGTACCTATTAATATAATTGGAATACGGAGTCTTACGGTAATGAAAGAAAGGTATAGTTTCCCAAAAAAATTGTTCGTTCTACACCCTTGTAACTCTTATGTGTATCTCGAACTTTTGTCAGAGTTAATGAAATTGAACATTCAAAATTAAAAACTACTTGGAGCTTGTTGTTAACGTTTCTTACTAGGGGTAAACAAATTTTACTCTCAAAGAGAAGACTTTCGGGACTGTGGCACACGTTCAATCTGTGTTGCACAACTTATTTTGCTTAAAGATTGCTGTCATACAAATGTAACCTGTACTGTAAATTTCATGAATATTCATCCGTTTATTTTAAATTGTCAAACAGGCAAATGGGAACAATACTAAATGTTACATTACAGTTCACTGTACATTGTTAAGTGTTCTCACATTAAATGGATGAGTTGTAGTGCAAAAACTGGGACCCACTTTTTATGCACACATTTTTGACAAAATTGCTCATTGTCAGAGGTTGACAACTATAATAGCTTCAGCCTGAACGATCAGGTCATGTTTTCCAGGAAGGAATCCACCCAACCCCTTCAAAGAAAATAAATAAATATCTAATCAAGACCAAACACACTGGTAATTCCTGCAATGCTTTCTATCTTTTATTCTTGAATCACACTTAGATAATCTTTTCATTTTTGTAGGGAAGTCACATGATATGTCTATACTAATCCCACAACCAAGCATACCAGGCAAATAATTCTAAATGGAAACGAGAAACTGGTCTATATGAGAAGACAACATAACGCTAAAC